TGGCAGGCGTCGGCTGCCGCAGGATGGTGGAGCAGGTGAGCGGGGGCACCAGACCAAGGCAGGGCACCGGTCGCTGTCATCGGGGCAAGCCTCTGGTGGTCACTGAAAATTCTTTGCTCCCCCAGGCCGTGGTCCTGCCCAGTGCTCGCACCTGCTGCCTGCGCTGGAGCTGTTGCTCACACCCACTGCTGGTACCAGCGCCAGCCCCAATAGGTCTGCACCGTCAGCGGTGTGAGCAGCGGCTGCCAGCCCCTATTGCCCCTGAGGGCTTCTCCATCTCCCCCTGCTTCTAGGGGCCGATCGGGGCAGCAGCCGCTGCTCATACCTGCTGCTGGTGGCAGCCCCAATCACTTCGTACCATCAGAGGGTGCGAGCAGGGCTGGCACCGTCAGCGCGTGGGCGCAGCAGCAGTGGGAGTGGGAGCGGCAGCAGTGGGAATGGGGCTGCCAGCAGACAGAGGACTGGGGGCCATGGTGGGAGGGGCCGGGGGGGCATGGAGGATGGGCCAAGACCCGCCCCTGTGCCCACCGCAACCTCACAGCCCACAGTTCCTTTCAAGGTGCACAAATTCATGCACTGGGCCCCTAGTATTTAGATAAAATTAAACACACATGATGACAAAAAAACAACAACACAATAAGACTGAAATACCGTTCTCAAAGTATTTTTAAAACAAGGTTATGATATAATAATATGTACAGCACTTTACAAATGCATTCATGAATAAGGTCTAGGGCAGGCCCAATACTTACTATAATTTCAAAGAAATGATGACCGCAATATTTCAAGATTTCTGTAACTGTAATGCGATACGAAGATCTGGGCCCCTAGTATTTAGATAAAATTAAACACACATGAAGACAAAAAAACAACACAATAACAATAAGACTGAAATACAGTTCACAAAGTATTACTAAAACAAGGTTATGGTATAATAATATGTACAGCACTTTACACATTCATTCATGAATAAGTTCTAGGTCAGGCCCAATATTTACTATAATTTCAAAGAAATGATGATCACAATATTTCAAGATTTCTGTAACTGTAATGCAATATGATGATCTCTATGATTTGTACTGGTGATGAAGTCGCTGGTACTGTTAATCTGATGGTGGTTTGTTGTCTACATGTCAAATTTCAGGCAGAAGTTGGGAAAAATAAAGATGTAATTGGTTCCAGGAAAGACCTCATCCCGGTTCATCATCAAGAGTGAGGCGTCAGCCACTGCAGCACCCAAGGGGGCTCCATGGCTGAACAGGGGTGAGGGGCATCCCCTGTGACTCAGGCCGGCTGACAGGGTCCATCAGTGTATGACTTACAGAGGCAGTGGAAGCCAGGGAGCCAAGGTGTCAGCTCCGTGGGGCCTCTGTCCACAGACGTCACTCAAACCAAAGGGGCCAGGTGACCGCAGCAGGGATGATGGGCACCCTGTTGCCCGGGAACTGGCTCTGAGCAGTTTCACAGCCTGCAATGCACCCGGGTGGGCAAGGCAGACGCCTTAAGCCTCAGCAGGACGTGGGAGGCGATGAGAAGATCCCGCGTCAGTGTCCTGGGGGACAGCGAGCAAGTGGGAAGTGCCCCGTGCTCTCGTGCTCAGGGAGCGTCACGGGCACTCTGCCCAGGCCCAGATGAGCTGCAGCTGGAGCCCTACCACAGGCCGAGTGCAGACGCATGGGGGTCCAGGGCACAAGGTGGAGCTGTTCCCACACGAGGTGCTCGGTGGCATCCTCCCGCCTTGGGCTCTCTATGATTTGTACTGGTGATGAAGTCGCTGGTACTCCTAATACATTGGTGGTTTGTTGTCTATGCTTATCAATGGGAAAAATGCTAAATTTCAGGCAGAAGTTGGGGAAAATAAAGATGTAATTGGTTCCCATTCACATCCATAGTGCCCCTGGGTCTGCCTGTCCCCCAGGAAAGACCTCATCCCGGTTCATCATCAAGAGTGAGGCGTCAGCCACTGCAGCACCCAAGGGGGCTCCATGGCTGAACAGGGGTGAGGGGCATCCCCTGTGACTCAGGCCGGCTGACAGGGTCCATCAGTGTATGACTTACAGAGGCAGTGGAAGCCAGGGAGCCAAGGTGTCAGCTCCGTGGGGCCTCTGTCCACAGACGTCACTCAAACCAAAGGGGCCAGGTGACCGCAGCAGGGATGATGGGCACCCTGTTGCCCGGGAACTGGCTCTGAGCAGTTTCACAGCCTGCAATGCACCCGGGTGGGCAAGGCAGACGCCTTAAGCCTCAGCAGGACGTGGGAGGCGATGAGAAGATCCCGCGTCAGTGTCCTGGGGGACAGCGAGCAAGTGGGAAGTGCCCCGTGCTCTCGTGCTCAGGGAGCGTCACGGGCACTCTGCCCAGGCCCAGATGAGCTGCAGCTGGAGCCCTCCCACGAGCCCTGAGTGCAGACGTGTGGTTCCAGGGCACGTGGTGGAGCTGTTCCCCCCACGAGGTGCTCGGTGGCACCCTCCCAACTCGGGCGCATCTCTCCGTGACTAGGGGTGCAAAACCAGAAAGGACTTCGGAGAACTGTCAGATCACACTTTATTTATTTTTTAATATATTTTCATTGATTTCAGAGAGGAAGGGAGAGTGAGAGAGAGATAGAAACATCAATGATGAGAGAGAATCACTGATCAGCTGCCTCCTGCAGGCCCCCCACTGGGGATCGAGCCCGCAGCCCAGGCATGTGCCCTGACCGGGAATCGAACCTCGACCTCCTGGTTCACAGGTCGATGCTCAACCACTGAGCCACGCCGGCTGGGCAGATCCCAGTTTAAACATTGTTTGCTAACTGCAGGAAGGACTACGTGCTCAATGTGGAGAACGTAGCCCAGATCACGCACTGCCTGTGCCCGCCGTCCACAAGGTGATATGTAGGTGCCGGTCACTACAGTCATCACTGTGTCTAGCTTTGTTTTTCCCGCGTATGTCAGATACACCAACTTCCATAGCTAGTGCTTTCCCCTTAAGAACTAAACCAGGGCCCTTCCCCATCATCAGACTCAGGCTAACACCGTGCGACGCTGCTTGGCCCACAGGTGGACCCTCCGGCAGGGAACTCACCCAGTCACACGCAGCCGCTCCCACCCAGGCCCGGATCCCAGCACGAGAGGCCCCCGCTTCTCTCTAAGCAAAGGTAAGAGGAGAGCTCGGCTGACAGGGTTGGGGCGCCTCGAAACGGCTCCCCACTGTTCTCCTGGCCGCTCGGCTGCTCTGAGGTCTCTGTGGGAGGAGCAGTCACTCTGTTAAATCACGTGTGGACGCCAGGCAGTGGCTTCCCGGCTTGTTTGGGCGCCCCCCACCCCCACCCCGTCTTTCCCCAGCTCTGACGCTGCAGACCCACTGCCATGGCAACAAGAGAGCCCTTGACCGCACAGGCCCTGGTCCAGCGCCTGAGCAGGGAGAGGGGTCGGCAGTGGGAGGGCAGGGTGGTGGGGAGAGTGGGTGTTGGCGGCAGGGCAGAGGATAGTCAGCCTGCCAGTCACTCTGGTAAAAGGCTGTGAGGACAGATGCGGGCGGCGCTGTGAGCACATCTCCCGTGAGGACGGCCCAGAGCCAGTTTCCCGAATGTCGGCCTGACCCAGCAGGGACGCGCCTCCCCGCACACCGCCTTGGAGGGCAGGTTTCTTGTCACACCACTCACGGCATCATCTCTCCAACCACACAGCTCAGGCGGTACAGCCAGTGCCGTGTGCCCGGCCACCTGCAGCC